TGGCAGGGGTTGCCCAGAGAGGTGGTGGAGGCCCCATCCCTGGGAACATTCCAGGCCAGGTTGGCCGGGGCTGTGAGCGACCTGATCTGGTTCAAGGTGTCCCTGCTCCTGCAGGGGGGTTGGGCTGGGTGACCTCTGGGGGTCCCTTCCCACCCAAAACATTCTATGATTCTACGATAAGAGGAGAAACACTGGCCGTTATCTTCAGGGCAGAAAGGAGGATTTATTTTCCCCTTAACCCCACCTGATTTACAAAAAAAATAATAATAATAAAAAAAGCCTTTAAGAAAAAAAATAAGGTCTTTGCCCCTCCGCTGCCTTTCTGGAGCTCTGCTGCGGCTCTGCTCCAAGAGGCGAGTTGCATGCTCCTTGGAGAACGTCTGCGCCTTCCCACATGCTCACAGAGCAGCCTGGGTACTGCAAGTAGTATACAAATGATAATATTTCATTTCACTTAATTATCACAAAACACTTCTGTTGAATCAACGCGTTCCAAAGCAAGCTCAACAAGAAGAGAGCTGGCACGTGTATCTGTGAGCAGCCAGGTATGTTCACAATGGGAGGATGCCTCCAGGATACAGAAAAATTTAATTTGACAGCAGCACCACAACCACTTACATTCAGCAGTTTGCAGGAGAGATCTCACTTGAGAGAATTCTTTTAGATGTGGCATCAAAATCCCTTGTATACAGAAAGAGAAATTTAGTCTCAGTCATTTCAAACGGTGCCTAGAGAATGGCCGTACTCTATGTATGTCTTTTGGGACTCACACCGGGCTAGATTCACCTAACCTAATGTTGGGTATCAACCGAGTAGTTGCCTACCAGGTAATTAGCCAGCCTGGGCTCTTCACAGTCAGCGGAGAGGAAAAAAAGCACTTCTAGGGCACAGTTCAACTGTCCTATTTTAAGCACTACTAGGGGAAAAATGAACGATGCCATGCAAGCGCCTCCTCTCTCCCACAGGAGCCTGGGTCACCAGCTCAGATACAGGCATCAGCACGGTAGCTATCTGCATTTAATCAGATTCACCTTAAAGTTCTGCTATGAGCAATGCAAATCCCAAGTGACTCAGTTATCTGAGCAGTAAAGGACAAGGAATGAAGTAAAGGACATGGCATAAGGCTCGAGAAGAAGAGGATGCGGCCAGCAGTTAATATTTCCATTAGACCAAACAAAACTGACACCAGCAAAACAGTTTATCCTCAACAGAGGACTGGGGGAAAAACCCAGAACAAGTCAAGGAGATGTTAAAGATCAGACAGAGCCCATCTGAGGGCCTCTGCCCAGCCTGAAACACAGGATGCGGAAAACACCAGGCAAATCCAGGACAGATTCACAGCTGAAATCTTCCTCCAGGCAGCCAAGCGGCTGGGAATGCGTCTGCCACAAGGCAAGGTGAGCAGAAGGACTCGGCCTCGCTCGATACTCGGTCGCACCACCCAGACAGCCCTGGATATAGGATGCTCAGGCAGCGTGGACTCCATGCTACCCCCTGAAAGACTCCTCTCTCTTGGGCAGCAAGGCCGTGCTGTGCCCGCTGGGGGGGACTGGATTCGGTCGTCAGCACCTTCCTTCCGTCACCACAGGAAGTGTCCAATTCTGTGTTTAATGCAAAAAGCCCAAATCCAGCCTGGGGTAACCTTACCCACCTCCACTGGGCCAGTCCCACAGGCTTTCCTGCGTGTGCTGGCCAGGGGAAGCCTGGGGCCCTGAGGGACTCTGAATGCAATGACTGGTTTCTTGTTTTAAGTGTCCAGGTCTCCATCCCGAGGCAGCTAATGACTATTATTCAGCAATTAATGTATACATGACAGGAATATCAATAAATAAAATTATGTAAGCACTGGAATACATAGAATCATAGAATCGCTTTGGTTGGAAAAGACCTTTAAGATCGAGTCCAACCGTTAACCTAACCCTGCCACCCGACCACTAAACCATATCCCTAAGCACCTCATCTATCCTTCTTTTAAATACCTCCAAGGATGGGGACTCCACCACCTCCCTGGGCAGCCCATTCCAGAGCCTGACAACCCTTTCAGTGAAGAAGTTTTTCCTAATATCTAACCTAAACCTGCCCTGGCGCAGCTTCAAACCATTCCCCCTTGTCCTATCATCTGTTACCAGGGAGAAGAGGCCGACCCCCACCTCCCTACAGCCTCCTCTCAGGTAGCTGTAGAGGGCGATCAGGGCTCCCCTCAGCCTCCTCTGCTCCAGACTAAACAACCCCAGTTCCCTCAGCCGCTCCTCGTATGACTTGTGCTCC